GGTTATCAAAAGATCCCAAAAGGCATAAATTGGTTAAAATTACCACTGGTGGAACAAAATTGAAACCTCAAAGACAGTGTCACGTATGTGCCGCACATAAGAAAAAAAGTTTAACGTGTTATATGTGTGAATTTTGTAAAGTTTCGCTGCATCGGGGAGATTGTTTCTTCAAATATCACACTCAAGAAAAATATTAGGAACTAGCCTTGACTACACGAAACTTTATAAACTAGTATATTGTCCTGTATATATATATATCCTATAAAATAAACCGCTAACGGCGATATACGAGGGTTGGAACTTCAATAGTGGCAACACAGCTGAAAAAACGCTACGCAACAAACGCAAGAATATCGCATATACCACACGTAAACTACATACCTACCTTACCTCTCAGCAAAAAGACTTGTCCTGCCTACGTCACGCACATGCGGAGTGCCTACGTCACGCGCATGCGGAGGATCCTTGTATTAGCTCGCGGTCTAAAGTAAGTGTTGTCAGGATGTTTTCAAAACAAGAACAACAATGTTGGATAAAAACGGAATATGCCAGAGGTCGTACAGCACGACAGTGTCATCAAGAGCTTCAAGAGGCTTGCTGGGAATTTGCACTGCCTTACAGAACCATAGCAAGATGAGTGAAAGCATTCAATGAAGGACGCCAAAACGTGGCAGACATGCTGCGGCCAGGTCGTCCGAGTGTCAGCGATGCAGACGTGCAAGCTGTTGCCGCACTAATGGACAGTGATCGCCGCCAAACAATTCGTCAGCTGGCCGGACAAACAGGATTAGCACATACGACTGTGCTGCACATTCTGAAGGAACGCCTGTCCATGAGAAAAATTGCTTCACGATGGGTTCCACATCAATTTCCGGAAATGCAGAAATGGCTACGATACGATGCTGCCCGAACCCACCTGGAGTGCTATGAGCGCAAAGGACATGCTTTTTTACGCCGTATCATTACGCTGGATGAGACTTGGGCCCGATCGTACCAGCCAGAACTGAAACGCCAATCAAACGAATGGCATCATCATGGGTCACCACGACGTTCGAAATTTCGTCAGAACCCCAGCAATGTGAAAGTTATGGTGATTCTTGTGTACGACTGTGATGGTGTCATCCTAACGCATACCGTTCCGCCACAGCAGACCGTCACTGTGCAGTAAGTATTACTGCTCATTTTTGGAGCACAATCTCTGACCAGCTTTGAGAAAAAAACGGCGACACTTTCTGCAGAGCGCTCCTCTCATTTTGCATGACAATGCTCGGCTGCATGCAGCGCAAGCTGTGACTGATTTGTTCAAGCGATGGGGCTGGGAAGTGCTTTACCATCCACCATGCTCCCCAGATCTAAGCCCTTGTGACTATGACTTAATTCCTAAGATGAAGGAACCACTTCATGACACTCGCTTCCAAACTGTTCCCGAGATTCTTGCGGCAGTAGACCGGTCCATTCAAACTATCAACAAAACAGGCGCTGCTACAGGTATTCTGCGACTTCCACATCGTTGGAAACGGGTTGTACACAATGCTGGCGTATATTGTTGGACTGTAAAACATGGTGACATGAATCACTTTTGTATTCCTTGTAAATAAATAGTTGCCACTATTAAAGTTCCAACCCTCGTAGTATATATATATTGTATATATATTTGTAACTATTTAAGGATTTAAATAAACTGTATATTTGCTTGCATACTTTTTTTTTTACGTATGGGAGAAAGTGCAGAATCGCCCACTGCTTGGTACGTTTTTAAGAATTGCACTACTCGGTAGCCATGTACACATCTTGACTTTATCCATGTACACATCGACCAATTTTCACTTAAAAAGACATAGAAAATTGACAAAAATTCAGTTCTTCTTTCTCTTGTAAAAAGCGCCAAACAAATAAGTGGGCGATTCTGCACTTTAGCCTATGTATATATTATCGGGCTATTTTATTTTGCTCCCGTTGAATTAGGAACAATGGCCTATAATTCTAATGGCTTTATATTTTTTAAATGTTTATTGTATTGTTTTTTGTATAATTTTGTTCATAAGAAATTCGACAGTAATATTGTATTTTTATAAAACAAGTGAGTCCTGAATAATGTCACGAATTCTGAAATATACTTATCAAATATAAAAATATAAATTAATGTATATAAAATATAGTTCCAGATAAGACCCATTACCAAATTTTGCAAAAATCTAACCATTACTATTACGTCTTAAGTTTATTTTCACACGCATATATTTCGCTTAGCTGGCAAATTAGCCCGCTACACAGCACTGTCCAATATCAGACCGCTCATAATGTGTTAAGTAATCAGAATCTGAAATAAGCCCACCACGCAGAATGGAAAACTCACTGAAAACATTTCTCAATGAAAATGTTCACAATTAAGCAAAAAAAAAAAAAAAAAAGAAAGAAAGAAAGAAAAAAAGAATGAATTAAACAAATTAACTCCCAACTTAAAAAATTTACTGCAAAAGCAATCTAAATGTGAGGAATCTCTTAAGAATGAGTATGCATATATTAATTTAAAAATAGAACCTTAATTAAATGAGAATTAATTAAAAAAAGAAATGGATATTTAAACAATTGAAAATGAGCAATACAGTTTTAAAAGTTTCGTTGAAGCTAAGATACGTAATTAAAATGGCTAAGAATCGAATACTTACGGAACTTACGGACTCCATATAACTTACGGAACCAAGAGATAATAAATTTGTGATGACGTCAGAGGTCATGTGAGCATGCGTAACTATGCCGTCAAAAAGATCATGTGATCTCCAACGTCATTTTCGACTTTTTGAGTCTGCTTTTGCTACTTTAGCTGAAAATTTTCTGGCACCACTGCTCTGAGCATTTTCCTACTTAGACCTTTGCTTATCATTTCTTTATTGTCAGACCTTTCTTTCTTGCTATTATTCCTCCAAGTTATTCAATGCTCCCGTCATTCAACGTTTAAGTCCACCTAAGAGATAATGTTAAAAAATGTTAGCTGCTGTTAACTTTCTAGCGGCTTATGTCTTACACAAGGGGGAGAATGTTCTTCCTTATCTTTTACTATTTGTGAAGAGCTCATAAAATTAATCGGGAAATCTATTATTGATACCATTCTTCGGAAGACAAAATATTCAGAGTATTTTCATTGTTGCCATTTCTATCCTCGAATTATGTATAATATCAATTGACTATTTTCTTATGTAAATAAGGCAATCCTGAGAAAAGGCATTAGAGTTTCTAAAAAACCATAATGGGAGTGATAAAGGAGCTAGATAATTGTGTTTTAATATTCCTTTCTGCTATGTACTAGACATCCAGAACTGCCATTGCTAGTCATAAACAATGCTCTTGTATTTACTCCATCTAGTAAAATAGATTAAAAGAAACCAATTCAGTAATATTTTATGTACAGTGCTCCACTCGCTCAGTTAAATTAGTGGAATCTAGGGTACAAACTCCCAGTCTTCTAGTTCAGTGCTTCTTGAATATTTTTTGCAAGTGGGACCATTTCTATAAATATTTATAAATTAGAATGGCTGATCACCTTATTCTTGTCTCCTTCAGAAGCAAATTTTTTTAAAATATGTTACCAACAATTTAAACTTTTTAAATACAATTAATTAAACTTTGTTTAATTTGATATTGATATTAAGTAATTCAGTTAATAAAAAAATTATATATATTAACCAAGACTATTGATTTCAAGGGTGAACAGGTAAAGGTCCATCATTTCTCAGCAGAAAAGTTTTTATGTTTATGTTAACTTTATGTTTTACTTTGGCGTGTTTATGTTCTCTCATGAGCTTAATGTATGCTGAACTATCGGCAAAATAATATCAAAAATTCAATATTTTGTATAAAATCAGTTTTAAAATAAGGAGCTTAGAAAAAGAACTAATTACAACTATCGATCTTTCCGGCACTGATAGGATTATTTTCACTCATTTTTTTTTTTCTTTTTGGTTGTTTTTTTGTTTCTTCAAACATTCTTTCCACGTTGGTTGTATTTATTCCCAAATAATATTTTTTATTTATTTATTTTTTTATGCTTTTACAGGCTGGGAAAGTAGGTTACTCCGGATATTTTGCCCCATCGTGTTATATATAAAGATGTCAGATGATCCGCTGGGTCATGTGTAATACCTGTGAGAAAGATGAGTAAAAAGGAAATATCTTGATCCATGCATTATTTCGTATTTACTGTCTATATTACTGTTGTCTTGTCCATATTAATATACTTTTTATATATAATATACCATACATATAATATACTTTTTCAATAACTAATATTTTTCTTCTTTTCTTTTTGTATCATCATTACATTCTTTCAAACAATAATGCAAAGACAAATGCCAGAGCTTTTAAAACCAAGATTCTTTCTGAATTTTATCAGCAAGTGATAACCATCTAATAAGATTCACCAGAATGAGAAAAGATGACCCTTAAATACATGATATTTGAAACTCTTTTTACTCTGTGAAAATTTAGGATTGACTTTTGGATTTTCACCATGTGTCCTAGTATAATTTTACCCAATTTTTAGGTGAAAGATCAATGGAAGAGTTTCATATTGTTAACCCTGAAAAAAATGGCTTTCCAAGTGAAAAGCTGAAATTATTCCAATCCTAAAAAATGATAAATATCCTAGTGCATTGCTTTAATTATCATTGCTGGAAGCATATGGTCAAAGATGCTATAACTATAATTACATTCTTTCAAACAATAATCTGTTAATTATTCTGAAGTCAACTTAATTTTATACATGCACTGACAATGGCATTTCATCACATACAATTAGTTTAGACACCTTTTCAAATTTCTGAGAAATTACACTTTGCTTCTGAAAATGGAGTTAAACTGATCAACTGAAAATTGTTTCCTTTTCTAAATATTTGCATTTTACTTACAAGTTACTTTTTATGTATTTATTTAATCACAAGGTTTGTCTGAATTTGTTTGATTTTTATGCCTATTATGAATATCATAAAAGGTATTTGCACAAGTTTTATACAGAAAAAATATATTTTATCTGATTATTTAATAAATATTTACATATACCACTTGATTCTACTCCAATCTATTCCTTGACAAAATGATATAGAGAGTGCAATTTTATGTAGACCCCACATAAGTATAGAATACTTACAGATTATACTGTTCATAACAATAGAAAAACTTTGATGCTAATAAGTTACACAAATTCAGATATAAATACTCTTTCATGAGATTCTTCTTAAATCAAAGGATCAGATTCATTATCACCACAAGCAAACTGACTTCTCCCACAATTTTTACAAGTAAATGAATCAAATATCTTTTCAAAGAAGGTCCTTTCAGAGTATGAATCTGAATCATCTTGAAAGTCAAAATTGGCCACTTCAACTGCCAACTGATTCCTCTGTTGCACATACAAGGCAATTCCAATAGCAATTATAATTAATGTAAGAAGGCTGCATACAATTGGAATGATGACAGTTGACAATGTTGGATGCACAGTCACTGGAATACAAATATTGAATTTTATAACAACACATAAAGAATTATCCAGTTCACTTACATGTAAAAAGTTATCTAAAAATAAGAATATGTACATTTATTATGCTATGGTACAAACATAGAATGAATTTACAAGAAAAAAAAATCAAACAATTGAAATATATTTACTCATTTTTCAATATAATAATAATAATCTGGAGGCTAATGCATAATCAAATGTCTTTTTTTTTTTAAATTAAAAGCTTAAAAAGGTAATGGGAAGCATTCTCATTATTAAAAGCATAGCACATGTTAATTACAATGCTTTCATACAATACTAAATGCTAATTTCCCTAAATAATTCAGTTCTGCATCTACATTTTCCTTCAAAGCATGTGTATGTTCATGTTTTTAAGGGCTATTTAAAACTATCACCACAATTTCTTACATTCAGTATGAAAAAGAAATGCAATTACACTACACCACTAACCTTATGAAATCTAAGAACACTGGGTTGCTCCTCTACAGCCCCATTCACATGCAATGCTCTTTCTCACAGCCACAGTTTGTATTAGGGAGAAATGGGGATATGAAAGGGTTTTGCCTTCAGGGCCGGTTCAGCTACACATTGTCTTCCATCCCTTAACCCATAAGCCACTGCGAGCAATAAATGATACTACAAACGTGAATCAGACTGGCAGATTTCTAACATTTACTTACAACTTTTTTGACATTGTTTACTACTGCTATTAAATGCCATCGGAGTTTAATTCTTTAATTAATTAAAATACACTTAAATTAATTAAAAAGGCAATTTATATACGAGACGAAATGATTAAAAAAAGAAAAGAAACCACATATGCTTCTGAGTGGTTTTAAATAAAATGTTTTGTGGCTGCTAAAATTTCAAACTTTGCTTCTTTTTGAAAAAAAGAATAAAACGAAAAATTAATATTAATTACAAATGTTTTAATATTGATTATAAACATTTTAGAAAATATATTAAAATTAATTCATCTGTTAAAATTGTTCTGAACGTGTTTTACGAAGATTTCAAATAAAAGCTTGTAATTTATGTTTATATCAATTGATTAGCACTAGGTTTTATTTTATATATATATGTAATGAAATTCAGTAATAAAATTTTTAAGAAATTGAAAAGATTTAATGACCATGTAGGCAGCTTATATTCTTTAAACTGTGTTTTCTCAATTTGCATTTTTTCAATAAATCCCTTTATTTAAAGTCCTAAAACATATATATATATGACCTAAATTATTTAATATTTTTACCGCTTATTTAAAGTTATATACTTTAGAGAAACAAGAATGGGTTTCGCAAAATACTGAAAAAAAAAATATTTGAAGTGGAAATGTGATCGAGATCATATTTGTTTCAAAGTTTTTGCATAAAAACATGGTTTTATTTTTTCTCAGAAACTAATTCATTAATTGCAAAATTGACCCTTAAAGTGAAGAACTTTCTAATAAATACAATATGAAAATATGGGGGAAAATCATTGAAAATTGTAGGAGATGAATGACATTTTAATTATTAGACTTTTCTTCCAAAAATTTATAATTAAAAAAAAATACTCGAAAAATTTTTTTTTCAGCTTAAAATTATTTTTTCTTATAAAACCATTTAATAGCAATAATAAAAGTAGATGAAAGTTCTTAAATAAAAAAATCATTCAAAAGGTACCGAGTCCCCTTGTCGAGTTGAAGCCGATATACGCGTCTTTAGTTTTAATTTGAACAGTATTTCTGGAATACCCAGCATCAGATAACCTCGTCCGTACTTGTTTACAAATTTCCGTATTTCGTACGGTTCTATGTAATTTTTTGGATTATACCTCATCCTCAGATATCTACCAATGCGATTGTTTCGCTCACAGTCAATTGCACGTCAGCCATGTTTGTTAAAATTAAGTGAACCGCACAATCAGTATGGGGAAATCTCCCCATTTGCCTTGCTCCTGAGAGGTAGGAACGTTCTATCTTCAATTCAAAGAGGCAGTTAATGCTTGTCACCGTGTGAATAGGACACTTTGGAAGAACCAGTTTTCGCTACCAGTCGAATCTGCTCTTGTGAACAGGGCTTATGAAGAGACAAAGAGATTAAAAGAAAACAATTTTTTTACTTTTTAAGCCTATTAATTTGTTTCCTTTAATGCTTACATTCCCTAATATCTTCTCAGAAGTCAATTGTTTGACTATTCTTTAATTCTCTATTTTTATTTTTCTGAATTTTTTTAAATGTTTTCAAAGATAAAAAGTAGCAAAGGGCTGCCACATTGGAGAGTAAGGAGAATGATTACGAATAATCACAATTTTCTTTCTGGTAATCTGTTTCAGGATGCACTCAGCAGAGGCAATTTTATTACTTCTCACCTTTATGGTTTTGAATCCAAAAACAAAGCTCATAAAATAAAATAATACTAATAATAAATAATAATATATAAAAAAAATCTGAAAGCTTTTAGATTTTATATTACGCCCAAAAGGGTGCTTTCTTAAGGTTCTGTGCGTTACCTTTACTTATTAAATATCATGTTCTTCGCATTTAAACCATAATATTCAATTCAATTCAGCAATATCGCAAAATAATTTTAAAATGAGAATACCTTTAGAATTTCTGATAAAGAGTCTTGTGTGCTGAAAATAAAAATGTCCCCCTCTCGGTAGAGTGTTGTCATTGATCGCTTTAAAATCGCTGAGTTTATTAATAAAAAATTCGTTAAAGTGTTACAAAATATGAAATCTATAATAAAACAAATTTCAAATTCCAAATTAGGGCTTCCAGATGCCTATATTTGGTGGAAGATTACATTATTCAAAATTTGGTGGCTCTAAGTACTGTTGTTTTATCACAATGCAAGAAACATATATACATTTATGACGATTCTTCTTCATTTAATTTCTTTAAATATGACACGGGGGGGATAATATTTGGTGGCAACAATTTGAAAAGTGAATCAACGGTTATAGCGAATAGGCACCAAATGCCAAAACAAAATTAATAGTCCTTCTGGGCAAATTGCTCCTTTGGACTAAAGAAAAAAAAACTTTTTAACCCATCTGTGCGATTAAACAAATATTTCTCAAAGTACGCTTATTTCATGCAAGTTATTGAGGTCCAGTGTAGTCATGTTTTAGGTCAACCTCTTTATGTTTTCAATAGAGCTTGAACTCAGAGTCTTGATTTTGATCGGATCGGGTCTTTTAGACCCAGTGAGCCTTTTCGTGTTACTATTATATAGTTGATTTGTGATAGTATAGAAAGCGGCAAACATGTCGCGTAATTTATCTTACAACAAAGAAATGTTGCAAAAGTCATCAACTGGTGAAGAATGTATTGTAGAAAATGAGGATGGAAGTGATCATGAATTTTAAGTTCACATGATACTGATTTAGACAGGGATATAGAGTCTGAAAATGACATTGAGAATGACATAAATTGTTTTATTGGAAAAAAATTATCGGAAACAAAAAAGGGGGTAGAAAAGGAAAAAAAAAAAAAGATGCAGTATTTGCCCAGCAAAAAAGCAAAGAAAAATGAAAAAGAGCTTTACCAAATGTGAAAAATATTTGTATTTCGAACACATGAAAACACATTCTTCAATGCGTTGCTAACATTTGTTGTTGCATTTTTCTCTGTATCTGTAGTGCTAATAAAGAAAATAAGAATTGATGCAGAGTAAAGGTATACTATTTTTTTTCCTATGCTAGTATGTAATACGATTTTCTATTCCTTTAAGAAATTTTATTTCATAAAAACATTTGAAGATATTAAAAATTTTAATGTACATATTTTTAAAATTTGATCATAAATTTATTATTGGCATAGATATAACACTTTTTCTGGAGATTTACAATATTTTCACGAAAAAACACGAATTGGGTTTTTTGGACCCAGTGTGCACTCGTGTAACTCATATGAGCCCGTTTCTAAATTCTTCTAAAAGCGGAAAATACATCAAAGCAAGTAAATTGAGATGACTTATTAATTACTACCTCACAACTTTATACAACTGATCGAAAAAATTCAGGCTTTAAATTTTGTAGACACATCATATTCCTACATAACGTGTTTCAAAACTAATGGAACAAACTTTAAGGTATGATGAATACATCAAAACAAACAACTTTCATCATAGACTGTAAGGTCACTCATTAAATAGTTACAAAAGAAGTTAGGCACTTTCTGCTTTTCCACTCAAAGCATCTTTTGCAATACAATGACAGATGATCTGATCATGTCCGACTTCTCCTTATACTGCAATTCTGCATTTCTGTTTTTTTTCCATGCAATTCTGTTTTTTTTTTTTTTTTTTTTTTTTTTTTTTTTTTTATTATTATTTGTATTATTTTTAAGTAGTGATAGCAGATTGCTATGAGCATGGGAAGAGCAAAAGTGTGCCATATGCCAAATTTGTGCAACTCTCTAATATTTTTTAAAGCAAAGCATTATCTGTGTGTTTATGGGAATAATGACAGTATGCACAGTGCTGACTTGCCTACGATGCTGAGTTTCTACAGTTCTCTGATTTTTTTTAAGCTAAAACAGATTGTTGTACCCATGGAGAGAATAGTGGTGTGTGTGTGTGTGTGTGGGAGGGGGAGGTAAGTATTTTCTTATGGATGTTTTTGCATTTTTAATTTTGTTAACAGGTTGTTGTTTTATACTATTCTTAATGCCCCACTATTTTTGAAAATTTGATCATATATTAAACTGAATCATATTACTATGTTTTAATAATATAAATGATTTCTTATGTACTTAGCTTAAACTGCAGCAAATAAGATATAAATAACATGAAATAAAAGTGATAAATATAAAATTAGAAACCTAAATGAAAAAAAATTAACATTAAAACAAAAGACTTTATATAAAAAAAGTTACTTACCATTAATAACCATTATTTCAAGAATTCTTTTCACATCTTTAACCCCATTACTAATATAAATACCAACATGGTAAGTTCCGTAGTCCTGAAAGTATCTAAAGATTTCCATATGGCAACTGGTAAATGTAGCTAAGTGAGTACAAGTAAAGTTTTCCACGGAAGTATTTTCGGTCACAAACTCATGGCAATATGTAAATGGTGGACTGTAAAACGAACAAATAATTTGAATTTCATTAAAAATATTTTTTAAAAATTTACCGTAATTATACAACTAAAAAGACTTATTTTTATAGATCAACACTACTAGCAAGCAACTACGGAATAAGAACTAAAACACAGTTTAATAAAGCAGTTTGAAGCCTTTTAAAAATATACTGGGCCATATAAAAAAAATCTCCTTGGCTTTTTGGTACATTTTTGAACAAAAATTCTCTTTACTGAAAATAAATTCTAATCAATTACATATTGACTATAATCATCTATGACCTTTTGGCATTTTTCAGGCAGCTGCATAATTCCATCAGCGTACAACTTCTGTGGTTTATCGTCAAAAAACTTGGCCAAGTGATTTTCAGCGGCACTTTGGTTGGCCAATTTTTTACCATCAAGAGAGTTTGGCAGAGAGCAAAACAAACGGTAGACAGACGGTTTCATATTTTTTTAACTGTATAATTTCTGCATGCCACCTTACCAGATTTTAATTGATGATCTATAATCCGGGAAAAACCCTAAGGAATCGCCGAAGGGTAGACAGACGGTATAAGGTCCAAGCTATGTGGTGGATGCATCAAAATTTCCCAACCAAGTTCTCTCAATTTGTTCCAAGTCATCAAAGATATGTGTGGCCGAGCATTGTCATGATGGAAAACAACTCCCTTTCTGCTGTCCAATTCTGGTCACTCTTTCTGGATTGCTTCATTCAAACAGTCGAGTTGTGCACAGTACAGGGACGAATTGATGGTTTCACCAGCTTGTAGCACCTCATAATGGACAATTCCTCAGGTGGCACCCAACCATGAAGCTTCTTTTTGTAGATTGCTCTTTTCAAGTGATTCCAAACTGTTATGTGGTTGACGTTTAGAGCCTCTGCTATTTCCTCACAGCTTGCGTGCCCGTCTTGCTCCACCAGTTGCAAAATTGACCAAAGTGAGATGCATCTTGACATCAAAATTTCTGGAATGGAATCGAGCAAACCACTCCTGGGTCCTTCATCCATTCACAGCATTCTTACCGTACACTTCATAAATTCTTCGGCATGTTTTTGCAGCATTTTCACAGTATAAAAGCAACACATAGCATATTTCTTTAGACATTTCACTCATTTTCAAATCAATATAACTTTCTACACAAGCAATGAATTAGAAAACCATCTTGAAAAACAAGAGAGGCTGAATGTCACTTTTTAAGCACATGTTTGTTTGAGACAATCAGGTGAGTGATGCCGGATATATAGGTAACAATACCATCTAGTAGCAAAAAAACCACGGAGACTTTTTATATGACCCAAGAAATTGAATTTCATTCAAAATATTTTATAAATTACAATAATTATACAAAAGAAAAAAAAAACATTTTTTTAGAGCTAAATATAATTAGCAAACAGTTATTAAATAAGAAATAAAATACACAGAAGTGTTCAAATATAAACATATTTAAAACTTTATGGCTACAACTAAATCATGTTACTATTTTAGACAGTAATTATTTTTAATATTTATACATTCTGAAATTTTTGATTTTCAGACTTATTAAAAAAAAAAAAAAAAAAGGAAATTTCTACCTTTATTTTCAGTTTAGGACATGCCACAGTTTGCCAAACACAGGAGAAAGATGTATGCTACTTTAAGATCCTTTAACCTCTTAAAACATAACACATTCAGAAGTGCCAACATGCAGAGTGATCATCCCCATCTACTGTGTTAGTTTAATACTACAAATTACCTATTTGCAAAAACTTTAAAAAGATCTTAAGGAAGGAAACCCTAATCTCTCAAGATTCTGAGACATATGCAATACATTTCATAATGGTTTTGCCCAAATATATCAAGCATAGACTATGGTACGTATGGCTAACAGAATAACGGCGATGCAATTTTCAATTAAATGCAACTACTATATAATATTGTTTACAGATCAACATACCTACCATCAGGGACGATCCTAGTGAGAGACAAGATGGTGCACAGCACGTGCGTGGCCAAACGATTATCAAACATACTATATTTCTGTAAAAAAGCGTGGCCAGTTTTAATTTTCACGTGGGCAGCTGATGGTCTAGCATCAGTACTGCTTACCATATCTCAAGCATATTTTTATTACTAACACAACATAAAATTGTTTTATATATCATTTTCCAGCACCTTCTAGCCATCAGATAAGTTGAAAGAGCTCGAGTGAGTTTAATTACTGTGAATTTAATACAGAGCTTGTGACTACATTTTATTGCAAAAACTAGTTTTATATATATTGTAAAATATTTTGCAGTATTTAACAAAATAACAGATGATCTTCTTAGTAAAACATAAATTTTATTTTTCATTTACGGAGATAGATAATTTTGAATACAGTCTTTTAATTACAAATTTTTCATCTACTAGCTGGTAAAACTTCAGAATTAACAATTTTAAACAACTTCTTACTTTGCTGAGCAACAGTTACAGCATACAAATATGGCATTCCCACTCCAATAATAAATGTAGTTATTTGTTAAATAATAAAATATTACAACCTCTCCCCCTCTAGATAAACTTTATTTTTTTATAAATTACAGTTTACAATTTTTTTTTCAAAACAACAGAATATCAACACAATACATAATTGAAATACAGTACAAAGTCTAATCCGGACGTCCATTATCCGGAATGATCTATAATCCGGACCTCAAAGCCACAAACTCAGGCATGAGATGATGCGCTTGATGCGCACGTCCGCTACGCATGCGCGCAAAGCCAGTAAAGCGTTTACCCATGCGCGCTTCCGATACTGAAGAAAGTAACACAGAACATTATTGAAAATGAAAAAATTTCGATTGACAAGTTAGTCGCGATTCTCGACACAGCAATTACAGGACTTGAACAGTGGAACTTTGTAACTGAACAAGAAATTATGTCTGTTTATAGAATTAAAGAGAAAGTATTAGCACAAAAAGCAAAGCAACTTAAACAACTTACATTGATAAAAATGTTTACTAAAGTAAAAAAATAAATATTAAGTTTTTTTTTTTTTTTTTTTTTTTTTTTTGTAAAATTTTGATACCCTTTAGATCATAATTGCTCTTTATTTCATAAATTACGGTTTCATATTTTTAATTGAATAATTTCTGCATGCCATCTTACCAGATTTAAATTGATGATCTATAACCCGGAAAAAACCCTAATCCGGAATGGCAAAGTCCCGACGAATCTGTATTGCGGACTTTATACTGTACTACATATAACATAATAATATACAGTAAGGAAGAGAGCAAAGAACAAAATATTTTTTATCTATATAGGGAAACAAATTCTTTAATCAGGCCAGGGAGTACGACTTAATGCATCTACATTTTTATGGTTTTTGCCATTTCAATGAACGACTGTGTAATTGTAGGGTTGTAATACTAGTGCCCATCTCATAAGTTGCAGATTCAAACTTGCATTATTTTTTAGCCAAAAGATTTCCTTTCAAAGTTTCGGTTAAAGGTGCTGCTGTAGATGAGAACATTGAAATGTAATGATTACAATATCCCGCTAATCCTAAAAATGCTCTGACTTGACATTTTGTGGATGGCACGGGAAAATGAAGAATAGCTTTTACTTTGACTTCACTTGGCATTCTTATACCACGACCTACAATATGTCCTAGATATTTTACTCTATCTTGAGCAAATTTACATTTTATAGGTTTAATGGTTAAACTAGCATCCTTTATTTTTGTCAAAACGGCTTTCAGATGACTTGTTCTTCCCAGGTGTTTGAAAAGATTGTCACGTCATCTAAATATGGAACAGCAAAGTGTTCACAACCGTGAAGAATTTGAGCCATCATTTTGCTAAATGAAAATTGTGCATTTTTAAGTCCAAAAGGCATCAGTAGACGTCTAAATGTGCCAAAACTTGTAGCAAAAATGGATAATCTTTGGGCATAAGGTGTTAATGGTTTTTACCAATATCCCTTTGTTAAATCCAAAAGAGTTATATATTTTGCACCTGCTACAGTTTATACTCATTGTTTGATATTAGGCAAGGAAAAAAATTGTGTTTTAGTCAACTTATTCTATTTTCTATAGTCGATGCATGGTCTAGGATCCCTTTGTGCTATTTCAACTAGAATCATAGGAGAAGTGTAATCTGAATCTCCTATTTCAATTATTTTATGTTGAAGCATTTTATCAATTTCTGTTTTTAATATATCTGTTTGGCTAGGAGAAATTCTGTATGGTTTACAGTGTATTGGTGTGTTTTCTGTCAATTAAATATCATGCATTATTAAATGTGTTTTTCCCAGCTTATTAGAAAATATTTTTGAAAATTTCAACAGCAGCTCATGCAATTCTTGAATTTGTTGTTCATTTAGCTTATCATTTAAGGAACTGTTTCCTTCAATTTCCTCAAAATCGAACAATGTTGGTTCAGAGTCAATTGTTGGGAAATTTTCCTCCATATCAGTTTCAGATTCATCTTCTGTAATCATAAGGTTAACCAACTCTGTTTCGCCTATGATAAGGTCTTAACACGTTAACATGGTAGACTTGATTATGGTCTTTTTTTCCTTTGAAACTCACAACATAATTAGTTTCAGAAATGAATCTTTTCTGATATGCTCTGGACAGCTCCTGTAGCCACTTACCTAAAGAAAGACTCACATCAAAAGTAATAAAAATAAAATACAATTACTTCATTCATTTCTTAAAAAAAAAAAAAAAAAAAAAAAAAAAAAAAAAAAAGATGGAATTCATATAATTACTATTTTTAATAAGTTACAGCACCATTGTTTAAGAATGGGGAAAAAAGGGGGGATGTTATTTAGCTTTGATTTCAAGTTTTAGTTCAAAATAATGGATTTCTCAACTCGTCACAACTATCAGGTAGTCTTGGGTTTCTAGTTATAGCTTCAATTTCTTTTTGAAAATACTTTCAAAGAATTCAGACTTCTTTGAGCAAAACATTCAGGCACCTGACTATGCTAATTCAACATTGGCCTAGTTTTAATTTTCAAAATACTTTCAGTTTAGAATCTTCCAATAAAGCTGGAAAATTATTAATGCACAAAAGTTAAGGATAAACTTCAGCTGCTGATACTGAATGATAAAAAGTATGTATACTGATGACTAGTTTTATATCTGGCTGACATAATGTTAGTTTCAGTAAAAAATTTAGGAAATTTTGATTGAATGCTTCAAATGGCATTTTTGATTTCAACAAAAACTATTTAAATCCCATTTTGCAGACTTTAAGAAAATCTTGATTTTGTGTTTGCCAGTTTAGTCTTGGACACTAATGCATAACCCAATCTTAATTAAAATAAATAAATAAATAAATATCAGCTTACCTTCCACTGCAAGTAATAGTAAGATTCAGTATTTCTCCATGGAAAATAAAAGGATTTCCAGAAATATTCACATTGTTGACAGGCACTAGAGACAGAAGGAAAATAAGACTCCACAAACAAATGGCATCATATTAAAATTCTTAAACTATTGAAAAATATATATATATTTAAAAAATATTTTAATTTATGGAAATAACTTATTTAATCTATATATTTATTTACTGAAATCCAATATCCTGAAGTTTTAAATTCATAAGCTTATGAAAATATACAGAATCTTGAACAGGTCTTGTTTTTTTTTTTTTTTTTTAGAACTTTGCAGTGAAAAATGTATCATGCCCTTTGTTTCTGGGGTGAAAAAATGTGTTTATGTCCTTGCTGAAATGTGAATCATAAATCTTCAAATTACTAACTAGATATGCTAACTCACAGACAGTGAAATTCCTTATAATTTTTCCCCCTTACAGTTTCTACAGCATAAGATACAGTTTACCATATGCAGGTAGTGATGAATAGTGGTGGATTTATCATGTGAGGAACCCGTTTCATTTGAGCTTTTAGTGGCCCCTCATCTTAAGACAGAGAATATATCTATTTTTTTAATATTAATTAATGACTAAGGGGCCTAAAGTCTCTAATAATTCAAGACATTCATTTATGATGATGAATTATCATCCACCACATTTTTAGTCTGGGCACCACTGTAAAAACTGTTAACTTGATTAGAGCAAGGTAGATGAGAAATTAACTAATCAGCTGCATCCTAGCCAGGATCTGAATAATTGATCTTCCAGTTACTAGCTGGATATCTTAACCATTTACACTATGAGTCAGATGATTTATTTGAATATGGGAAAGCTCATGAGGGCTGCCTAAGGAGAAGGGTGTCATTGTGGAGAATTTTTCAAAGGCAAACATACTGATATCCATGTTAAACATGGAAAAAAATCACAAAAACCAACCATGTAAGCAGCCTGTTCTCAGGCATTTGAATCCTGAGCTATCAGTATTCAAACGATCATAAGAACTTGGTCACTGGAAGAGGAAAGATGCAATAATTCCATACAACCTTTTTATTCAATATTTGTTGAAATAAAGTTATTTATCCCACAGAATTATCAACATATCATATGCAATTGCATCATTTGTAATTTTCCCTTAAATATATAAAACACGCAAATTGATATTTAAAAAAATCTGACGTGTACACCACGACTTCCTTGTAAGGAATATTAAATTATACACAATTTTCCTGCATTTCATTTATGCATATTGAATTAACAGTTAACTAATTTTGAAGTAAGTCTACTTCGTCAATAGCACATAAATCACAATAGACTTAATGCCCTCTTTAAAGTTCACTATACAGTCAAAAGTTGTTAATTCGGCACCCATAATCCGGAATGATCCGGACCTCAAAGCTACAAACTTTCTGCGCATGCATGTAAGACCTTTACGGCTGCGAATATGTGTGTGCGCATGCGCATAACACGTTTACGCATGCGCGTTTAATGTATAACGGACATATAAGCTAAGCTAAAATGATCTAATTCAGTTAATGTTGCAGATTGCATTGTTCCTTAATCTTTTAATTGGATCCGGCTTATTCACAGCATTTTTAAATGTAGGAAGAGAAAAATTTGAAATGATCGACTTTGAAGAAGTAATTGATAAATTTGCTTCATTAAAGGCAAGAAAAATGTATACACAGTAATTATTAATTATATTATGGTACTAAAATATGACATTATATTATTAATAAATATATCTATTATACAGGGAATCCCATAAATGTTGCGACAAACTTCTGGTGGCGGTAGGGCACATCATAAGGACTAAGAATTGCTTAAGAACCCATGCCTTGAAATATCATTGTACACTGCCAGGGGGTGCTGTACAGAAGAGTGCTAGTGCAAAGAGAGGATTGCCTCATTTGAGCGGTAGGTACCATAGGAAGAAATGGAACGCTATACGAACGGAGAGCTTGCAGACATGCATTTCGTGTATGGAACAGCTGAGTGTAATGGACGAGCCGGTGCACTCATTTATCGAGAACGCTTCCCCAATAGACATCAACCACACCACTACAGTACAAAGTCTTTAATCTGGACCTCAAAGTTACAAACTTTCTGCGCATGCGTAAATGCATAATACCTTTACGCATGCACATATGTGTTTACGCATGCACATAATACGTTTATGCATGTGCGTTTAATGTATAATGGCCGGTATAAGGTAGGCTAAAATTATCTATTTCAGTTAATGTTGCAGATTGCGTTGTTCCTTAATCTTCTAATTGGATCCGGCTTATTATTTTTTGCAGACTGTTAGAGCAATTTTATAAAAAGTAAGCTTGAACTTTCGATTATCTCAAAAAGAGTTTCCGATTCTGGATCTACACAGAGAAAGCATGTTTCGATGTACCATTTCCGACAGTGAAGAAAGTGACAGACAGTTTATTGAAAATGAAAAAATTTCGATTGATAAGTTAGTTGGTATTCTCGACACAGCAATTACAGGACTTGAACAGTGGAACTGAACAAGAAATTATGTCTGTTTATAGAATTAAAGAGAAAGTATTAGCACAAAAAAGGAAGCAACTTAAACAACTTACATTGAAAGAAATGTTTAATAAAGTTAAAATATAAATATCAGCCTTTTTTTTTGTAAATTTTGATACCCTTTAGACCATAATTGCTCTTTATTTCATAAATAACGGTTTCATATTTTTAATTTTATAATTTCTGCATGCCATCTTACCAGATTTAAACTGACGATCCATAATCCTGAAAAACCCCTAATCCGGAATCACCGAAGTCCTGACGAGTCCGGATTAAAGACTTTGTACTGTATTTGTTTGCCCATTTGCATCAAAATTTGTGTGACTAATGGGTCATTAAGATGTCCTGAGCGGGACGAGTGAGGTCAGGCCACGACCAAGTCGTTCTGTCGTTAGGAAAGAAAGTGTGTTGGATATGGTGGACAGTTATCCAAGGACCAGCATATGTGCTACTACTTCTCAATTAAGAACATCTTGTACCAGTGTCCAGCATGTCTTGAATGCCAAGTCCTGCCATGCCTTTCATCTCCAAAGGGTTCAGTTACTGCTCCCCGATGACTATCCTGAAAGTGTGCATTCCTACAGTGGTTTCTGAAAGAAAGTCCGCATGATGTTGATTTCCCAGCTTTTGTGTTGTTCACAAATAAGGCCACATTCAATAGGGATGGTGTATTCAATCACCGCAATCAGCATTTATGGGCTAAAGAAAAACCCCATGGTATGCGGCATCATGCTGCAGAACAATGCTTCAAAGTTAATGTGTGGGCAGGTTTGGTCAGTGCCTGCTTAGTCGGGCCGTACATTTTATCATCCAAGTTGAATGCCACGAATTATCTGATCTTTCTGGAGCTGGTTCTTCATGGCTTGCTTGAAGATGTTCCATCAAATGCGAGGCGCAACATGTGGTTCCAACATGATGAGGTCCTGCTCATTTTGGACTGGATATTCCTAGCCATTTGAACAAATCAATAGATTAGTTGTGGTGGACCGGTTCCCTGGCTCCCACGCTCACCCGATTTATTGAGCCTTGATTTCTTTTTGTTGGGAGCCATCAAAAGCGTCGTGTATCATGATCCTGTTGTGTCTGAAATGGATCTCATGCCAAGACTCACCTGTGCAGCTGCTACTATCAAAGAAACTCCCAGTGTGTTTGAACATCTCTGGCAATCAATGGTCCATCCGGTGTGAGGCATGTTTGCCGTATAATGGTGCAAACTTCAAGCACCTGTTCTGACATTCAAGCTGTTGTACACCATTTGTATTCATGTCCAATAAATGCTCCAAATTAATCACTATCTTGTTTCCTTTCCCATCTTCTACCTCTACTACCCGTTACCCTTGACATTTCCGGGCATGGGTTCCTACACCATTTTTAATTCTTATGATGTATTCTACCTCCCCTAGAAAGTTTGTCGCAATATTTACAGGACACATTGTATATAATAGATATTAATTTTTTTCATTTTTAAAAACTCTGCTTTTAAAGTAATTATATAAATATGTAAAATAGATAATTTTTTTAACTAATTCTATATGAACGTATGTCTGATTTTTCCACTGACACAGAGACATTTCCGTATTTAGTCCCAGTCTTGATTTTATAAGCAGTTTTTTTTCTACTTTAAAATTTAAAGCCTAAACAGAGACTGTTATCCCGAAAAATTGTATAGCATTGCGTAAGAGTGTAGTTAGGTAGCGACTATTCGTAATATATTTGAGTATTTTAAGGCAGACACTGCACTTTATTATTATTTGTATTATCTTCTTATTATGAGTATATTTTATAATATAGATTATTATATGTTTTTTCGGGGGGGGGGACAAAAAAGTATTGTGTTCCGGGTGCCAGTTATCCTCACTACACCATTGTGAGTCCATGCTAGATTTAATCAACTCCATCAATTTTTCAGTAAAACTTATGCATGAAGTTTCTTTTCTAAGCAATCATTTGGAATCTGGCAGCAGATTAATTAATTTTACATTATAATATGTATGGAAAAGTTTCAGATTATGATTTTGGGAGACAAATTATCTTCGGGAATAAATTCAGCTTGTGAACCAAAGTTTTACTGTGTTACGAAAATGAGCAGCATGATAAAACAAAGGATAAACGATTCTAAATTTGCAATTTAATTATTAACTTTACCTTTTGCTGTGATCATCTTGTTGAAAAATCCCACTCTGAAGTCATTATTTGGGAAAGTTGCTGAAGCAAATGATTTAATTTCCTTTATGCCTGCATCACTAAAGTTATAAGTTAAAACATTCTTCAAAGTCTGATGTCTCTCTGCATCGATGCTCCAGGCATATTCAATCAAAGAATTATTTAGGAATCCACTAGGATTGTGTAAGTCAGTAACAATGGTCACATTTTCTCCAACAGCAACTTCATTTACATCATTTCCATAACTTATATTACCTCTGAAAACTAAGATTTCTCCAATCAGATCTCCTGGGGGAAAAAGGAGAAAATATTTTATTTTAAAGCAGTCAGTTTCTGTCTGTATGAAAAATTTACATCTTATATTTTACTTACATCAAATATCACCCTACAGATTAAGTACACATCCATAAAATTTCACGAGTGAAAACAAATAGTTTAAATTTAAAAACACACACAAAAAAGAACTTATTTGCAATTATTATAGATATAAAAATCCACTTAAGTTTCACTTAATATATATCCTTAAAGAGAAAATACTTTATTCAGTCAGAGAAAAATGAAAAATATAGTACAAAGTCTGAAATCCAGATGTCCATTATCCGGAATGATCTAAAATTCGGTCCTCAAAGCCACAAAAAAAATTTTTTTTATTAATGCTTTACACATGCGCATTTGATTTTTTCTTCTATAATAAAACATGTAGAGATTTTCACTTAAAAATTCTGATTCTTAAAATACTTCGTTATGGAAAAACAATCATGTATGCATAAATTTGTAAGATTAATAATTTGGCTCCATAAGTATCTACTTGGCATACATTTCAAACCAAAACATCATCTATTTTATATCCCTGACGCCGACCTGGCGTGTCATTATTTATTATATTTTGGTTTCATCACAGCATGTTTATCAATACATGACAGCTTCAGTAATAACTCATGCTGTGATGTCTAAACTTTTTTTATATTAGTAATTGAGCAACAAGAGTATGGCAACCTTTTATGCTAGCATTATGCTTGGCGAAGATTATAGATTTTTAAATGCTTTAAAATATGTTGACAAGGAAAAATTCAACAAAAATTTCTTTTCATATGCTAAAAATAGAATTTATTAATGAAACTCAACGGCCAAAAGATTACATTTAGTGCTATTTTAATTAAGAATAACTGATATGTTATTCACCATAAACACAGAAGCGGCAGCAGAATATGTCGGCACCGGACAGCAGGACTTAGGGAAGACGAAACTTTTGGAATTTGGGGAAGCACCGAGCGGCAAAATTACGGGCTGAAAAGTTTTTATGATTTACGCAAAGCACTGGGATCTAAAGTTTAGGCATAGTGAAAATTTAAAACTTAGGAAAGTGCTTTGCAGCAGAATTTAGGACCCATAGAGACTGCAACAGGCGGTATCAAGTGCCGGGCCCTAGATAAAGCTTTCTGAATTTTTTGTGGAAGCATCTTAAACAACTTACATTGAAAGAAATGTTTAATAAAGATAAAAAATAAATATTAAGCTTTTTGTTGTAAATTTTGATACCCTTTAGATCATAATTGTTCTTTATTTCATAAATTATGATTTCATATTTTTAATTGTATAATTTCTGAATGCCATCTTAGCAGATTTAAATTGATGATCTATCATCTGGAAAAATCCAGAATCGCCGAAGTCCCAACCAGTCCGGATTTCGGACTTTATACTGTATAACAAGTAGCATAACACAGATGGTAATACTGAAAATTTTAAATAGAAACTTATTAAGAATAAAAACTGAAAATGATTGATCAAAATGGGAATGAAAATGTGCAATAACTTACAGAAACTTCATTAATATTGCATAAAATTTTAATTAATACAGTCAAAAGTCGTTAATTCGGACACCCATAATCCGGACCTCAAAGCTACAAACTTTATGCGCATGAGTCGCGTTGACGCATAGGCGTTTACGCGTGCGGGTAAGACCTTTACGGCTGCGAATGTGCGTGTGTGCATGCCCATAATACGTTTACGCATGCGCGTTTAATGTATAACGGAACGGTATAGCTAAGCTAAAATTATCTAATTCAGTTAATGTTGCAGATTGCGTTGTTCCTTAATCTTCAAATTGGATACGCCTTATTATTTTTTGCAGACTGTTAGAACAATTTTATAAAAGTAAGCTTGAACTTTCGATTATGTCAAATAGCTTCAGCTGCAAAACCGCCAGCTGAAGATGGTGGTTCGGTAAAACCATCGAAACTAGTCCTGTGAAAATTTTGTAAATATAACGCTGATTTTTGTTGTTTGACTTCTGAATTAGTATTTATTCGGCGTGTTATTGTGTCTTAATTGAAAGATATATTTAATAAAGTAAACAAATAAATATTAAATATTAAGCTTTTTCTTTTTGTAAATTTTGATACCCTTTAGATCATAATTGTTCTTTATTTCATAAATTAAGTTTCATATTTTTAATTTTGTAATTTCCTCATGCCATCTTACCATATTTAAACTGATGATCTATAATCCGGAATCGCCGAAGTCCCGACGAGTCCGGATCAACGACTTTTGACTGTATAGTATAAAGTCCGAGATTTGCAATCATCAGGACTTTGCCGATTCTGGATTTTGGAAATTTCTGGACTTTAAACCATCAGTTAAAATCAAGTAAGATGACACAGAGACATGGCATCACTGAGGCTCCTCTTACTGTTTATGAACCACTCAAGGTCAATAGTGTGATCCTGACTAACAACAATATACTAATTCAGAAGTCAAACAAAAAAAAAATCAACGTTATATTTTCAAATTGTTGTTTGACTTCTGAATTAGTATTTGTTTGGTGTGTTACTGTGTCTTAATTAACAACAATATGGCAATCAATTAATTATCAGTGGTCACAGTGTGGGGCTCCCAAGCCAGCAGGTATTTGAAAGCAATATACTCGAATCTCAATTGGTGGGAAGAAAAATCACATTTGCAGGACACCTGTTTTCTTTTACTGAGTATTATGTTTTCTATTCCTAGACTAGTATGTGGGGAGAGGAATTCTTTCAGTTATTTTATTTTATTTATATACTAGCAGGTAAGCCTACCAGATGAGCAGGCTGGAGCCAGAGCAAAATTTATAAGTTCTAAATACACCTGAAAAGAAAATGTATAAAGACATTTGAAATAAGTATGATTCAAAACACATGGGTATGCTACCCAAAGAAGTCATCCAACAGAAATATCACAAAATAAAAGTGTTAGCTGAATCAACATTATTGACTCTTCTCTCTTCATAGTTCAGTACAAAGTCTTTAATCCAGGCTCGTCGGGATTTCAGCTATTCCAGATTGGGGGTTTTTCTGGATTATAGATCAACAATTTAAATCTAGTAAGATGGCATGCAGAAATTATACAATTAAAAAGTGCTTAAAATAATACTTGAAGATCAGATTACTTTTATCATAAAATGTCAATTATGAAAATTATTAATAAAATTATTCAGAGTAGAAAATAAGGAAGCTTTATTTATGGCTGAGAAAAACAGCAATGAATGCCAAATGGCAATATTAAACATTTGTAACCCTTATACAGGGTTCGTACACATTTCTGCACATGGAAATTAAGTACTCTTAAGGACCATTAATGAAAAAAATTAAGGACCTATCAGCCAATAGGAGCTAAAAAATTCAATTCAATCAGCTTATATCTGAATTTCACATTTGTAATAACATTCTAAGAATAAAATAGATCCGTAAGTAGGATACATTCTTATTAAACATAACTTTAAAACAAATTTGAGAATGAAAACCACAATATAATATTTATCAAATAGCATTAAATATTTTACACGTATAATAGTTGGACATATTTGAAAGAAGATTGGGGACATTTCATTTTCATTTTATTAACAACTTTATGCTGATTTTTTCTTTTATGTCTTATTTTGCCATGTCCTTACTCAGTCTAGAGGTTTAGTAAATAGCAGGTAAATTTTATGTCAAATGGCATAGCTTAAAATGAAAAATAAAATCATAATCAGCATGATTTGAAACAGAAGATTAGCTGTTGCTAGTGCTGCTTCTTGCTGAGAGAGAGACCTGTTGATCAGAAAAAAAATCTGAAAACCTGTTGTAGGTAAGGTATTTCTCCCACATTTCTTGGCATGTCTTCATGGTGTGGTGGTCTGCACACTCGGCTCCGCGGTTTGATTCCCAGCGAAGGCTTTGCATATTTTTCATCTTTCCTGCTTCCAAAAAATATTTAATGTCTCTAGAGGCGCCCGAACTAAAAGGGTGGTGGGTGATGATTCTCCTCACCCAGGATTTGGCAATTGGGTCCCCTAAAACCCCAGTCGCCTTTTAAAAGGGGGAGTATATAAAGTATTTCTCCCACCTTCTTGGCATACTTTTGTGGTGTGGTGGTTTGCACGCTGGGCACGTATTCCAGAGGTCCGCAGTTCGATTCTTGGTGAAGGTGCTTTTTCATCTGTTTCTGTTTAAAAAAAAAAAAATTCTAATGTTTCTACAAGTGTTGTACCTTCATATACAGTTTCTGGGATTGTAGCTTGGTTAATATATTTTAAAGTTCCAATAAGCCTCTAATATAGCAGAGGTGAGAAGTTGTTTTGTATTATTTTAAGTCTCACTAGATGCAAAGAATAAGTTTACAATATTTTTTACATTTACGTGCCGTATCTTGTGGCCACGGTAATGATTAACGAAAAGCAATAACTTGCTTTAATATGCATAGATAACTTTTAAAGATGAGCAGTTAGTTATAAATAATTACATTAGGTAGTTAAATACCCTCAGTCGTTATAGATTTACATGACCATTATTAAAATCACAATTTAATAACATTTCACAGTTTAAAATACATGTAATTTATGACACCGATTCTTAAACAGTATTAGGATAATTACACATTAAAAGTAACATAACAAAATATTTACGATTCTTTTTAATTCGAAGTGTTCCTAGACATTTTGGCTTAATTTATATCAATTTTCTTCTCTTTAAACATCTTTTCTAACAATTAGCAATCTGTTTCAATACACAAACCAATGTTCCCACTAGTTTCTGCGTGCTTCAACTGTCACATTCATTAAGTACCTAACCAGGTTTTGCGTGATCTGGTAAAAGTTAAATAATCCAAAACCTCCGATAGACATGAAGAAAATTATCGTTATGTCTGAAGGTAACTACAGCGTCACATAAAGATTTAAATATACCTCTTATTTAAAAAGACTTTGGAACATACAGGCACATTCTTATGTTATGCTGACAAAATAAACTACAGCTCTTGGTGATGCATGTAAACAGGAAAAGCCAAATTCAAACTAAAAATGTGGACTAGTATTCAAAGACTACTCAATTTAAATTTAATCTAAGGTGGCTCAGTAACTTTATTGTAGTAAAAAATTCAAATATTAGTAATGATAAACAAAGATGAATAATTACAAATTATCAGATGTAGCAGGAACTGCAACATCCAAGTGGAGGGCAAAATTACAATCCAAAAATCTCAGTTTAAAAACGATCTGATTTGAATTCTGGTGAGGACACGGAAACAGAAAGCTACAGTAAATGCTAAAATTCTAAACAACTGATAATTTGCATATGCATTCAGTTTCTTTAAATGTGTTTCCTCTTCACTTCAGAATTTTTGGAATTAAAGATTTCTGTTATTCTAAAAAACCAAAATGCATTTAGAATATAAAGGAAAAGCTGCTAATTTGATTTCTTTGGTAATATGAACATTCAGAATAAATATGAAATGATATGTGGTTAGGGCTGGTTTGAATTTGGGAAGGCACTAAGCGGCAGAATTTAGGAACCACAGAGATTTCATCAGGTGGGAAAAAGGCCCAGTGCTAGCCCTGTGTATGATCCATTGAGACGTATAAGGTGAATCTTTTAAATTGTCAGTTTTCAATTTCTTTATTAATAAAAAAATTCCTTTTTATATAAATGACTGTCCATGTGAAAACACTAGAAACATTTTTGGTATTTTCGATGCAGGTGTCTAGTGAAAAGTTGAGAAAATAAAGAGAAGATAAACAGGTTAAGAAAAAGACTTCTAGCATCAGAAGTACAACATTCAAACATTATATTTTCAGTGTCCTTCCAAAAATTCTTCACAATGTATGAAATTCATCATAAAATTTCTGTAAAATACATCCATTATGTGTTAATACAATGAAGATATTTTTTATTTTGTCACATTTTAATAGAGCCTCCTAGAATTGTGGGTCTGTAATCCTTCTAAACAATGCTTTCAAATCCTTCTAAACTTTCCAAGTTGCAATGTCTAAAATCCTAAAGAAAATTAGCCCTACCAATTCTGTAATAGAAAAAAGACCAGAAATAGTTTGAAAAAAAAAAAAAAAATCAGTGGAAAAAAAAGTGTGAAATTAATTTTATAGAGAAAACTGATGCATATTCTAATCATTCTGAAACAATTACTGGGAAAACTTTTTACCCTGAAAAAATTGAAAGGAAGAAATTTTTAATTAATTACATAGCTATTTTGCTTTTGCTATGAATTTTTTTTGTAAACTGTGCTCTATAATATTTATTATCTTGTTTATTTCTCATATTCAAAATACCGTATAATAACGGAAAGTAATGTCTCTTCATAATATGACAGCAAAAAAATATAAATGTTTTATTTTAATTTTATTTCCTAAATATAATTTCAATATATTACCATTAATTTAGTTAAATTTATCAATGTTATAATGATTTTTAAAAAAAATACACAAAAAATTCCCAGATCTCCGAATTAAAAATTTTCGGTTGATCTTTACATTATGGTAACTTGGCGTTTTTTTCGCGAAAATTTGGCGACCAACTCTCCTACAGCAACCCTCTATTTTTTTTTTCCCGCCGCCATTTTGTCTTCACGAAGTAAAGACATGTTTCTTTTCTTTTTATCTACTGAACACTTCTTCCAACAATCTACTAGCCGAATTACACTTATGCTAGAAATTTTATCTAACAAAACTGCTTAATCATGACAAATATTCACTGCAAAATTGGGAAAAAGTGCACAATACCATACTCTTTACGCGTTTTTCAAAATAACACATACACATAAACCATGTACACGCCGACTTATTTTTACTTAAAAAAACATCCCAGAATTGCACAAAAATGGCATTGCGCACACTCTTCACTATATCCATGTACACTGCTTTTTTCTCATAAATTAGAAAAATTTCACGAAAATACATGATAATTTTCTGAATCTTTAAACCCGGTAAAAAAGAACATTATGAAATTACCTGATCGCGAAAAAAGTATTTACCCTTTCCAAATATGAACATTTCCACATATAAAAAATAAAATATCCAAAAACTTTTACCTCTAAATCATCTATTACATTATACACGTCACCAACGAATTCATACCGCAACCATTACAAATACTTAGTATCAAATATTTAAATTATTTCCATGCACGTTTACTTCAACTTAAACGTATACCAAATTCCTACAAACATAAAATTAACAAAATAACTATCATTTAATTAAAATATCACTAAACCATGTACACGCCGACTTATTTTTACTTAAAAAAACATCCCAGAATTGCACAAAAATGGCATTGCGCACACCCTTCACTATATCCATGTACACTGCTTTTTTCTCATAAATTAGAAAAATTTCATGAAAATACATGACAATTTTCTCAATCTTTAAACCCGGTAAAAAGCACATATATGAAATTACCTGATCGCGAAAAAGTAATGAACATTTCCACATATAAAATAAATAAAAATATCCAAAAACGTTTACCTCTAAATCATCTATTACATTATACACGTCACCAACGAATTCATACCGCAACCATTACAAATACTTATTGTCAGATATTTAAATTATTTCCATGCACGTTTACTTCAACTAAAACGTATACCAAATTCCTACAAACATAAAATTCACAAAATAACTATCATTTAATTAAAATATAATTAAATTCAAAAACACTACTTAAAATATAAATGAGCACATACATTAAATTAATACATACATAAATACCCATTTCGAATTCACTTTAGTTACGGCCATGGGATCCAAAAATTCATGAACACTGTTTCACACAACACAGAATACAGCCAAATACAAAATTTCCAGATTTTTTCCCGATTTCCCCCCTTTTCCGATTAAAGAACCGTAATTCGTACATTAATATCACATGACATATCCCATGATCTCTCATTTCCCTCACACAAAATAATGCGTAATCGGAACTGAGTACTGCTCACATTATTACCAAAGTGCTAGGTAGTAACCTTTATCGCCTCCAAAATGTCGCCAAACTACCAGTTGCCATATTGTAAAGATCAACCAAATTTTCTATAGAAAGTGATATTAAAATTGCCGAAATGCTGATAAGTCACCAAATTTCGAGCCGTTTTATAAAAGAATTCACATCCACAAAAGCGGAAAGTTGTTTAAGAGCTCTTCATTTTAAAAAAATGAAATAATTTTAAAATGCTTATGTTTCAGTTCTTGCTCAGAAGTACTTTATATTAGAAATAGGAACAAATTATAACCCATGAACTCATTCAAAAGAGTATCATTTTTATCAGTGAATCGCCAAAAATATTCCTCGAAAATGATAATTCACACTCAAAATAACAGTTGTAAAAATAAGACCGAAATTTCAGATGATTAAAATTAAAGACCTTCTGATGATTTTGGCCGAAATTAAGGACTTCTAAAGACCAAAAATCGATTTAAAAAATGTAAGGACTGTACGAACCCTGTTATATGCAATGAAAAACTACATCACTACATTTGGTACTTTTCCATTTTGCCGGAGCAAACGATAAAGTCACCAATAATGGTACAACTGATGCCAAAAGGAATATCTTCGCTAATAACCTTTTACCCTTCGTTTCAAAACAAGTCACAGCCATTTGTTATCAGACTGATTGTTTCTTTCAGTACTGGCATACAATTACGGTTTAATCCTAGTATCCGGTGCACAAGGGATTTGGCTACTTTTGGCGACTTTATGATGAGCAGTAAACGAGACATATACGATGAGTAGTTAAACGGGTCATTTTGGAGTGAGTTGGCGATAATTTTCAAAATCGTGCCAAGGCTGCACCGTATACTAGGATTTTACCTATAATTACATACGAATTTTTACTAGTTAAATTTTTTGCCCTAAGACCATTTGCGGTAATTAATTAGGATGCAATCACACCACTCACTTGAAGGTGAAAATATAGAAAAGACAAAATCAAGGGAATTCATCAAATCTAATGAGAATTCACTAGCAAAGTAAAGCACTGTGGTTTTACATACTTTCTGAGTAAGCTATTTGTATGAATTGAATTCTAAAATGTGACAAAATAAAAGTTCAATTTTTTAAGTTTTAAATACATCAATATGCCATATACCAATATGACTGATTTTACCAACTTTAATTCTGCAGTATAATATATTTACAGCTTAAATGACCAAAACATTTCTAAAAATTAAAGACCATAAAATTTATACACAGATATTTCGTCTACAGTATATCATAATATCGCATGCTTATTACACACATAAATAAAACTAAAGGATACATACTCTGTATAGAAAATACACTGCAGTTGGCAATAACAGTTTTAGTCCATATTACGAAATTATCTTCAACTGTCACATTCATTAAGTAAGTCCCCTCATCATAAAGAGTTGATGGCAATTCCACACTCAGAGAAACGTTAACAGCCCGCGTTTCATACTGCAATTTTTGAACTCCATCGCTGAATACGTATAGCAAATTAGATTTTGGAACATAATCTTGTAACACAGCAATAAATGTTATATTGCTTCCAAGTATAGCGGGGCCGTCATTTGTTACAATCAATCTCCGGGATGACAAAACTGAAACAAAAAGCACTAATTTCAATACTTTGAATGATAACCTTATGTCAGGTCTATATCAATAATTATAATAATTATAACACTCACCTTGATTAATTGTGAGTGATACCAATAAAAAAATTTGGCAAATTTTTGAGAGCAATTTCATAATTAATTCTTCACATGATAATATTATAAAATCCAATAAATGATACAGAAACCAGAACTATTACACAAATGCTCATTTCATGGTAGATTTCTCACATTTATCTGCTTTTAATTATACTCTCGTTTGAAGAAACGCATTTATCTCTACACATTGTGGAATAACGAAAACAAGTCACATGAATGGCTCTCTTCCGGTAAAAACAAACACACACATTGTCTAAATATCCGCTTCTGGAGCCAAAATGTTAATGTAAAATGCGTGGCATAAATAAAAGCTGATGTTGGCCTTGGCTGAAGCTATGGATTTAAAAATTCTTCATGCCTCATTTACTGATGACCGCGCGTAATTTCTTCAGAAATGTACAAAATTCAGATCATCATATAGCACAACTAGCAAACTATGATCGAACAATTGTGCATCCATTCAAGCGTCCTCTTACTATTCAATATAACCGTGCATAATAAATTTCGTCAACGCAGGCCAAAAGTGTAATAACCTCGCTTTTCTCCCTGCTCATAGTTAATAAATCTCATCAAAGCAATAGATATTAGAATGTGATTTAACTTGCAAAGTATTAGGACTTTTGCTTTGAATTCTCCAAAGCGGAAAGAGGACTTTGTTGTACCTTATTTCAACCCATAATATAACTCTCAATTCATTTTCATTATTCTAGTATTAGCGCATTTAAACTTGGCAAATAAATTTCAAGTCCTCATAGCAAGAATACAATTTCTTGATATATAATTTACTTCATTTATGTTTAATAAGTTTCAACTTTATTATGGATTTCCCATATAACAAATAACATTTTCATGTTTGTTTTACTTAGATATTAATGCGCGGAGTATAATGTTTATACTCCGTGTACTAATGCAGTGCTCCGCAACCGGTGTGCCGCGGCACACTGGTGTGCCATGAGTAGGATATAGCTGTGCCGCAATCAAATACATGTATTTAACATTTTGCAAATTTTTATCATGTATTTAATACACAATGACAATTTTTTTCCTTAATAATGTCTATTTTAAATGTTTTTATATATTTCACTGTTGTGTGTGTGATTGTAAGTGTGTCAACATTTGAATTTTTCGGCACTTCCTTGATAACTCGGAACTCTTTGATGTGCCACGAAATTCCAGAAAGATTTTTTGTGCGTCGCAGTTGAGAAAAGGTTGCGGAGCACTGTACTAATGTTAAGTCTTGCAAAAGCGCTTATTCTTCTATTTCCAGCTAAAGGACTCAGAGCACAGTGCCAACTAGAGGTCAAAACCTCTAGCGGTTGACCCCTCAAGAACCACCAGCATTCCGAGGCGAAGGGGAGATTTTTTCCCTCATAGAAAGTCTTTCGTAAAGGAAGAATAAAGTATACGGATACCAGAAACATCTTCGAACTAAAAGGTTTCTTTTCCGACTTTATGGTTCGATCCATTATATTCGGTACAAAAGTATTCGAACACCGGTACCCTATCAGAAAATGACAAGATGGCGTTTTTTTTTCTCTTTCTCTCTGTGTGTCGTGTTATTCCATCCTAGGTTTTCTTCTCCCCCCCATCTTGGAAAAAACTGGAAAAAATTGGTTACGATCTCTTTTTGAATGGGGAGATGCCATTTTGAGAAAAAGCTGACGACCCTATCTTGGAGAATGAACATGACCGCTCTACACACCCTTTCACTCTCTCTCTCTCTCTCTTTTGAATTGGGAAGCCATTTTGGGAAAAAGCAGACGACCTCTTCTTCTTGAAATCTTGGAGAACTGGAAATGAACGCTCTCTACACGATCTCTCTTTGAATTCAGAAGGTATTTTGGGACCTTCTAATGTTGGAAAACTGAAATGAACGCTCTACACCTTCTCTCTCTCTCTTTCTCTGAAATGGGTAGCCATTTGAAAACTCCCTAACTTTGGAAAAAAACAGAAATGAACGCTCTACACCATCTCTCTTTGAAAATGGGGGGGTGTCATTTTGAGACCTCCCTCCCCTAAACTTGGAAAAAAAACTGAAATGAACGCTCTACACTTTCTCTCTTTGGACATGGGTAGCCCTTTGGGGACCCTCTCCTCTTGGTAGGAAAAAAAAGAACTGAAGTGAAGGCTCTACACAATCTCTCTTGGAATGGGATCCATATTTCGGGAAACGTGGATCACCTCATGCTGGAAAACTGAAGTGAACCACCAAGATTGGACTCTATATAATATTTTTTTTTAATTGACATCATGACCCTCCTCCAATTTGTTATTAAAAAAATTGTTTTTTTTTGTTTTGGTTTTTATCCCATTTCCGATGTGATTTCAGAAATGCAATTCCATAACAGTTCAATTTCATTCGAGGTTAAATGATCTAAACAGTCTTTGACCCACCCATCCGTATGATTATTTTCTTCTCCTTCCTGTTGCACCAAATTTTGTAAGTCCATATAATCATTCCATACGGGAAGGGCTGGATCCTCACAAGGCTGTCTTGAAACACTTGGAGTCTCTTTGGGATGAGTGGAGGGATCTAGGATGTCTGGACCCGGCTGCGATTCTACCTCCATGATTTCTGGACCCGTTGGAACTTGTTTACCCGGCTGAAATTCTACCTCTACGATTTCTGGACCCGTTGGAACTTGTGAACCCGGCTGTGATTCTGCCTCCATGATTTCTGGACCCGTTGGAACTTGTGGACCCGGCTGACATTCTACCTCTACGATGTCGGGACAGGTTGGAGGAGAAGAAGAAGAAGAAGAAGAGGATACTGGAAGAGGTTCTGTCTGTGAGGAGTCCGAAAGAGGTTGCCTGTTTGAACAAGTCGGGGAAGAAGAAGAAGAAGAAGCTTCTGGATTCTGAAGCGGATCTTGCACGCCAGGTAGGTTCCGGTAAGTCGACCGTTTTTTAAGAGGTAATTTTTTTTCTTCCTCCTCATCTTCAATTGTGATGACTTCAATTTCATTCCGTTGCCGGGTCGATTTTGTTTCGGGCCAATGACGACGTTTGGTCCAGCTCCTCTTATCATCTAAGGAAGGGATGGGTAAAGGTGGCGGAGGGTTTTTCTTCTTCTTTTTCTTGAAACATCATCGGCGATTGGAAAGAAATCTCCTCTTTCAATTGTTTCCAAAGCGAGTACGAGCACCGATCGACGAGAAAGAGACTCTTCTGGGTTGTGACGATGAGATATTGCGTTTTCGGGGGAACGACATAGTTTTGAAAAGGTCTTAGAATATATTTCTTATATTTCATCCTGTCGCTGACTTTAAAACTTCTTTCCTTCAGATTGGGGGACGATGATTCGTAATAGGCGAGAGGAGCGGCTGTGGTTTGAACAATATGAACTTCGTCCTCAGCCGTCGTTCTCACTCCAAACGTAAAATATCGTTTCGTGAGAAAAATATTCTTCCACCGAAAACTCGTGCGCGGATCTGTATATCGCCGGTCTGTTTGAATGGGCCGTCTCAAAGCTCGATCCATCCGATTCCAAGAGAAGGGAGATTCCTCTTTCGTTTGTTGCGATTCGAATAAATTTCTGTATATATTCTGAACGAGCAGGTTGGAGGATTCGACATCTTGGTTGAAAGAAACGATCGCTTGATGAGGTGGTAAATGCGGAATAAATGTCGCACAATGACACGCCAAAAAAATTTTCAAGTTGGAGATTTGCTTTAGCGTCTTCAAATCCTCCCCGTTCGAAATCCGTTGAGTTGGAAAAACGTCTAATAGCGACATGGCTCCCAATGGAAAAGAAATGATCTCGCCCAGTACTCTCGTCTTTTTATATATCTATATAGACACACACAGACACACACATAGAGGCTCTATGACGTCCGTTTTATTTGTTTTTTTTTGTTTCTCTCTCTCTTCTTTCCAAGAAATCTTATCTCCATGACCTCTTTTTCTTTTCTTAAAAAGATGAATGTGTGTGGGAATGAGGAAGTGAAAGTAATAATTTAATAAACAAAAAAATTATCCAACCATGACCTTCTTTTTTTTTTTCAAAGTCACCCTTTCCAATCCAAAGACGTCCAGAGATAGAGGAAGCAGGGAGAGAGGAGGAGGAGGGAAGGGAAGGTAACACTCTCTTTCTCTCTATAAATAAAAGGGGAGAGCCCCAAAGTCGTATTTTTGTCCAAGTGGATCATGAGGAGGCATCCCCAGCTCACTACGTGTATTCCTTTCAAATATAAATATGTTGATCTTTCCTTTTATATCATCCAAGGAGTCGTTTACCTGAAAGCCTCCGATTTTTCAAAATGTGCGGGTTATTATACCGTGGGGAGTTATCAAAAGATGCGGGACGAATTTTTATCCGACGAAAACGTGTTGATGGCTCGTGACATTCCACCTTTGGATGCACAAATTTTGTTAATGAAACGAGCCAAATATTTTTACACGTCCCACTTTCTAACCGTCTCGCAAATGAATAGGATTATGGATCGTCTTGAGAAGACAAAAGGGATTCTCGTTCATTTTAGTGAATGGTTGCACAAATGTTTGCACGAACCTCTCTCGATCGAGAAGACTGGGAAGAATACCTATTATATTCTTCTCGAGGACTCTCCTCCTTCGTCTCATCATTAGAGAGGCCACGACTTTTGAAAAAATCCTCGAGCAAGAAAAAATAGAATGGTGGAACAACTACCCCATCCCTCTCCCCGAGCATCAAGAGGAGCCTGTTCAGAAGAAAAAGAAAAAACCTTTCCAAAAGCCTATCCTCATCCTCCTCGATAATGATGGGGATGAGGAGAAGCCTGTTCAGATTCCTCTCCGTTTGTCAAAACCCGTCGAGGATGAAAAACCTCTCCCTTCCTCAAAACCCCTTGAGGAAGAGAGAGACCCCTCGAGAAGGAGAGATCTCTCCCATTGTCAAACCTCCTCGAAGATGAAAAACCTCTCCCTTTCTCAAGACCCCTCGAGAAGGAGGGACCTCTTCCTTTATCAAACCCCCTCGAAGATGAAAAACCTCTCCATTTATCAAGACCCCTCGAAAATGAGGGACCTCTCGATTTGTCAAAACCCCTCGAGGATAAGGGAACCAAAACTTCTCTCTCTTTCGAAGAGGAGGGACCTCTCAATTTGTCAAGACCCCTCGAGAATAAGGGACCTCTCAATCTCAATTTGTCAAGACCCCTCAAGAATCCTCGAAATAAGGGAACCGAAAATCCTCTCCCTTTCTCAAGACTTCTCGAGGAGGAGGAGGAGAGACCGCTCCATGTCTCAAGACAGGACCCCCCTCTATCTCTTGAGGATCCGAG